GCCCCCCCCCTGCGCCCCCCACCAGGGGCAACGCCAGCAGCGCCGGGATGCGGGGCAGGAGCCCCATATCCCTCCCAGCCAGATCCCTTCGGGTGACGTTGCGAGACTGGCCAAGGTCGGGGCGAGCTTGGGGGAGAGCAGAGGAACAGAGCTGAGCCGGGCTGGGGCTTCCTGCTGGCTTAGCTGGCATTAACCTCACGATTAAACTAATTAAACCAGTACCAGGAGGGTCCAGCCCTGTCACCAGTCCTTGGGCACCAAGCCTGCATTGAACCAGGGGGCTAAGCCTGCCAATAACCCCCCTCGACATAATCACCCCCGATTTTCCGCACCCAGAGGCCAGCAGTCTGCTCCTGCAATGACCTTTGGACTTCAAATATCTTTCTTTTTTTTTCTTGTAATTCTTTCTGGTTTGGTTAGTGTGATGCCTAGCCCCACGCTCCCGCTCACTGCGTCCCACGAGTTTTCATGTCCTGCCCGTCCTACCGCTGCAGGGCGTGTTTAGATTGTTAAAGTTCAACTCTTTTCCCATTTTGCTGTGGTATTTGCCTTTCCTGGGGTGTGTTGCTCGCTGCGTGCCGGCTGTCAGCTCTCGGAAGGCCGATGCTGGGTAGATGTTGCTGGTAGCTGCTGTGGGCAAGCACCAGCTGGATGCAGCAGCAGCATCCTCCCTGCGGCCTCGCGCTGTCCGGAGCATCCCCTCCTTCCCGCTCACCCTCGGCGTGGCCAGCACGGACCTGGCTCTTGGTCCTTCTGCCCACCCTGGGTCAGCGCATGGAGCCAGCAGCTTCATCCCTGCATGGTCACACAGTGGAACCAGCAGCTCCATCCCAGTATGGTCATGGAGAGGGGCCAGCAGCTCCATCCCTGCATGGTCACAGAGTGGAACCAGCAGCTCCATCACGGTCACGGAGGGGGGCCAGCAGCTCCATCCCCACATGGTCACACAGTGGAACCAGCAGCTCCATCCCCACGTGGTCACAGAGTGGAACCAGCAGCTCCATCCCGCAAGGGCCCCGCAGGGGGGCCAGCAGCTCCATCCCCACATGGTCACACAGTGGAACCAGCAGCTCCATCCCCACGTGGTCACAGAGTGGAACCAGCAGCTCCATCCCCACATGGTCACACAGTGGAACCAGCAGCTCCATCCCCACGTGGTCACAGAGTGGAACCAGCAGCTCCATCGCTGAATGGCCGCGGAGCGGGGCTGGACACGCAGCTGGTCGCTTCCCTCCCGGTGATCAGCTCTGGCTCTGTCCCCCTCCTGGGAGGGTACGGGGCTGAGCTCTCTGCTGGCAGCAGGACACGGCCATGCCTTCTGCAGGCAGCAGTGAAGGTCGCACGCTCTCTGGGTGCGTTTTCCAAGCGGGGTGCCAGATCCAGCGTGGCCCAGAACATGGCAGGGACATGGCCTGGAGCACCCAGTGCTTGGGACTGGGGTCTGCTGGGACAGGGTAGGTGGGAGACGAGGAAACCAGAGCAGCAGGAGAGGCAAAGGGCAGTGGGCTCATCGCAAAATGATGCCAAGGGGCTGCGCAGAGGGGGTGGTGGGATGCTGGGTGATCCCAGCTCGGTTCCCCCGGCCATGTGGCTGTTTCAGGGGTTCCTGTTTCCCCGAACCGAGCGGCTTCCCAGCACGCTGGGGGGGAGGCAGGCGGCCCTGGGGCTGGTTCTGTCTCCCTGCCGCGGGTCTCATTCGGCCACGGGGATTTTTTTCTTCCTTCTGGTGAAGCTCCTGGGCCAGCAGCGCAGAGAACAACGGGCAGGAAACCGGGGATGGGGTCTGCCTTCCTGCTCCCAGCAGCGTCTGCAGATGCGGCCAGGGCCAGGTTTCTCCTCCTGAAGCCCCGACGTGGAGCAGCCCAGTCCCCGCAGCAGCGCTGGTCGCTGTCGGGATGAGCAGGACAGCGGGGGAGCGGAGAAGAGCCCTCTCCTTCCCTCCCTTCCCCGGCCCCACAGCCCCTCTGCTCCCTCCCGAAGCCCGTCGCTTCGCAGAAAGTCCCTTTTCTGCCCAGGTTTCCAAGCTGCACCTCCCTGAGCTCTTGGTTCCCGGCTCCTCCAGGGCTTTGGCACGCTGCGCAAACGAGATCCTCAGCGCTGAGCTTCCAGGAGGGAAAACACGAGGAGTTCATTGAACGGGGAAACGGCGGGGCTGTTGGTCTGTGGGAGCTGGATGTGGGGCTGCTCTGGGGAGCGCTGAGGGCAAGGACCCCCGGGATACCCCGGACCTGGGGACCGTCGCTCGGAGGAGCGGGCAGAAGGGAGCCAGGAATGGCCCGAACCCGCGAGCAGGGCGGGAGAGACCCCCTCACTGCCGCGTGTGCGGGGCTCGGGGCAGAGGACGGGCACGTGCCATCTCTCGGGAGCGACCTGCTGCCCACCTGCCCTGACGGCCGCCGAGCCACGCGGTCACGGGGCGATGGAGCCAGGCTTCACCTCACCAGGGCTTGCGGTGGGGTTCTGCCTCTTCTAAAGGACCTTTGCCCACGTGGCGTGATGCTGGTGCCATCTCCTAGGGCCGCTGTCGTGCTGAAACGGAGGTGTCCGGAACTGGACTCTGTCCAGTGCTGGGCTCCCCAGTTCAAGAAAGATGAGGAGCTACTGGAGAGAGCCCAGCGCAGGGCTACGAGGATGAGGAGGGGACTGGAGCATCTCT